TCAATTCTGTTCATTAGGCTCGGTGGCAAGCACTTTTATTTGTTGAGCTATGTCACCAGCCCGTGTCTTCTTGAAAGCATACTGATTTAAGCAGCCGGGACCTGGCCTTGGTTGTGTTTGTGTTTTTGTGAGCTCGAATCCAGTGCTTCTGTTTCTATCATCCGCATAAGAGTGTGCACAATAGTTATTGAATATATCCTGAAAGATCCCCGGAGGGTATCTTCCGTCAGAGAGACCCCCTCCCAAGTAACAACGAGTCCATTCGGATGTAAACAGCAAGAGGTTTTTATTTTGATACACGGGTACCCGGGGCGAAAAGTCATTCGGGAGACTTCCGCGCCCCCTAGATGGGAAGCTGGGGTTTTTATAGGGTTTTAGAGCAGAAGCACTGGTACAGAAGCGAGAGGCATGGTTACAGGGGGCTGATTGGTACGTTTACACGAGACCACGGTTTGCGTCAAAGTTTGGCAGGGACACCAAGATTCCAGGAACTGGGTGGTCACAATGGTCATGATGACTCTTTGACGTGGCCCACCACCTGTTGTTTTCCTTAGGACCCTTATCTTAACTGGAACAGTCTCACAGATATCCATGAGGGTGATTAATACAAACTATTTTTAGTTCGACTGGGGCAGCCTGACCGCAGATATCCCAAGTGGGTGACACAGCTGGGTTTCTTAGTAATTTTTCAGTTTCTCATCTGGCCTTCAGAGTTTTACAAAACAGTGGTGTCTCACAAAATGGCATTAGCTATGTTTAACTTAGGGTGAGGCTGGGGTCTTTCAATCCGTTCTTCCAAGACTCAAGCCCACCCCACTCCTTCTTGGAGACAAGGTCTCACGTAGCTGAAGCTGTCCTCAAGTTGCTATGTAGGTGAGGATGAAACTGAGCTTCAGATCTTCTTGCCTCTGTCTCCCTAGTGAGGAGATTACAAGCGCTGCAGCAACTCGTCCTCCTCAATGAACGAACGATTGAATGTCAAAACATTCCCTTAGGCGGGCAGCGGTGGCTCACGCCTTTAATCCCAGCCCTCAGGGAGGCAGAGGCAGGAGGATCTCTGTGAGTTCAAGGCCATCCTGGACAAAGCAAGTCCAGGACAGCCAGTCCAGGGCTACACACAGAAACCCTGTCTCAAAAAAACCAACCCCTCCCACCCCAACCAATTCTTTTATACAGTTATTTGCTACTCCTCCAAATTCATCTCCCACTGATCCTCTGCTAGCACCCTGCTCTTCCTGATACCCTGTCCAGCGTGGCATCTTTGGATTTGAGTTGGTTAGCTTGTCAACTCCTTCTAAGCTCATGCTAAGTATCACTTTCCTCTTCCTGTTATTTCTTCTGAACGTGCAGAAACACAAGCTGTCTCTCTGCGGGCCTGTTGATGTGTCAGCTGAAAATGACTGCAGGCGGCAGAAGCTGACCAGCTGACCACTCAGAACACGTTCACTGCATGGCCACTTCACATGGTCCGTGTGTGGCCCCCATAGCTAGAACTGCTGGAGTTTGTTTGCTTTTGTTTTTGAGTCTCGCTATGGAGCCTTGCTGCCTGGTCCGGAACTCGCCATGTAGACCAGGCTAGCTTCAAATTCACAGGCTAGCTTCTGGGAGAGGTGGGATTAAAAGTGTGCATTATCATGACAGGCTATGAAAATCTGTACTTTTTACATTCATTCATTCAGTGTTTGTGTATACAAGCCACAGCACACACATGGGATCAGAGGATAACTTATGGAGGTTTCTCTCTTTTTCCATCTTGTGGGCCCTGGGCATCAAACTCAGTCCTGCAAGTGTCTTCTACCTGCTGAGCCATCTTGCCAGGCTAGTTCTGAAAAGGTCTGAGGAGATATCTGAAATGGCGAAGTGCCTGCCACGTGTACCCAAAGATATGAGTTCCATCCCATCCCCCAAAATCCATCAAAAAAAAGGTGGGGTGTGGTGTCACAGAGTTACAAACCCAGCAGTGGGGACGTGGATTGGGCTAGCCAGCCTAATGGATATGGTGAGCTCCCAGGTTGGTGAGCGACCCTGTCTCAGAAGACAAGCAAATTGTTCCTGATGAACGATACCCGAGACTGAGCTTGCCCTTTGGCCTCTACACACACATGCACACGTGTCTGTATACAGGGTGCCCTTGCACACACACGTACGCGCACACACATGCATACAAACACAAATTTCCGCTTTGTGGCATCGCTGCGAGACAGGGGAGAGAGGGAAAAGGAGTCTGTTGCCATCCTAGTTAATTTTTTTTTTAAAAATGTGTGCATGGGTTTGTACATGAGTGTACAGTGTCTTTGGAGATTAGAAGAGGCATTGGCTCCCATGGAGCTGGAGTTAACAGGCGATTTTGTGCCACCCAATCCGACTGCGGGGAACCAAACTCTGGTTCCCTGCAATTGCCTGCTCTTAACTGCTGAACCATCTGTCCAGCCCTGTCTTAGTTTGCTTCAGCTGTCAACTTGACAACCTGGAGTTATGGCTGTACCCCCCACCCCCCCAGACATACATGGTCCTGAGCCTAAGCTGGCCTGTCAGCAAACCAGCAAGCACCTCCTCCCGGCTTTGCTGTGCCTGTTTGCCTGCGTGCCTCCCTCCAGCCTTGCTCAAGTCCTCGCCCTGAATTCCAGCAATGCATTTCATCCTGTAAGTGGAAACAAACCCTGTCCCTGCCTCTGATCCCATCAACAGGATGAAACCCTAACACTTGCCTAGAGAAGTCTGCCTGTGATCCAATGAAAGCTAGAACCCCCTCACCTACCAGAAGATGATATGACTTAGCCGGGGAAAGGAAGACCCAAACACACTGAAATAAAAATAAACTTAAAAAAAAAAAAAAAAAAGACTGTGGATTGGTGTTCTCACTCTATACAACATTGGTGATGACATAAATCCACACGAGAAAGATACAGACCATCACACCGATTAAGCCAATAATCTCAAGATTGTGAGTTCTCTAACTTTTTGGCCTATGACTAAGGGTGAGCCAATACCTGGGAGTCTGTTGGTGTTGAAACTCAAGGGTAGTGTTTTTAAAGGCAAAAGAACACAATTCTATCAATCTTAGATGAGGTCAGAGTAACCCTGAAACATTTGTTTTGACAGAACCTAATTATTTTAGTTACAACATGACAATTAATTTTGATTTATACCTTTTCCCATTTGAAAGATCCCCGGAGGGTATCTTCCGTCAGAGAGACCCCCTCCCAAGGATCAACGAGGCCATTCGGATGTAAACAGCAAGAGGCTTTTATTTTGATTCACGAGTACTCGGGGCAGCAAGGTCACTCGGACCTTGCGCGCCTCCTTGGGGAAAAACTGGGGTTTTTATAGGGTTTTAGAGCAGAAGCACTGGTACAGAAGCGAGAGGGCATGGTTACAGGGGGCTGATTGGTACGTTTACACGAGACCACAATTTGCGTCAAAGTTTGGCAGGGGCACCAAGATTCCAGGAACTGGGTGGTCAAGGGGGGTAGGATAACCCCTTGACGTGGCCCGCCACCTGTTATTTTGTTTTTCCCTATCTTAGCTGAAACAGTCTCACAGATATCTATGAGAGTGATTAACACAAACTGTTTTTAGTATGACTGGGGCAGCCTGACCACAGATATCCCAAGTGGGTGACACAGCTAGGATTTCTCAGTAATTTTCCAGTTTCTCATCTGGCCTTCAGAGTTTTACAAAACAGTGGTGTCCCACAAAATGGCGTTAGCTATGTTTAACTTAGTGTGAGGCTGGGGTCTTTCACATTATTTTATGTTTTGCCTGTATAATCATTATTATTTTGGTTAAAACATCTGGGCCATGGTTAGGGTCATGGAAACCCCTAATGTGTTGCCAAGAGAGACCTGGCTGTTGTTGGAGGGAGGGCAGAAGGCTGCCTGACAAGTGTTCTAAGCAGAAGCAAAATGGAGTCAGGACAACCTCAAACATATCATTAACCTTTCTGAATAAAGGTCATGATTTGGGCAATAGAAACTGTATCTGTTCTTCTGATTCATTTGAATTTTTTAAGTTTTTTTTTTTCCTGGTTTTTCAAGACAGGGTTTCTCTGTGTAGCCTTGGCTGTCTTGGACTCGATTTGTAGACCAGGCTGGCCTCGACTCACAGAGACCTGATTGCTTGTCTTTCTGAGTGCTGGGATTACAGGCTTGTGCTATCACAGTTGAATTTTTTTGAAAGGAATAAAACACTTGGTTGGAACTGCTTTATGAATGACAGATGTTCTACGGATGTTATCCTGCCACATTGTGGGGCATATGGTGTGGCTTGTACCTTCCGACCCAGATTCTCACTTTTTAGCCCTGGCTGTCCTAGAACTCATTATGTAGACCAGGCTGGCCTCAAACTCAGAGATCCCTGCGTCTGCTTCCTAAGTGCTGAGATTAAAGGTGTGTGTGGGCCTGGGTTTTGTTTTTCCTTGGTTGGTAGTGAGCAAGTTCCAGGATCCTTCCGTCTGTTTCCTGAACGCCGAGGTTACAGAGACTTGAGGGAACACACCAGCCTGGTGTGTGGGTGCCAGGATCCGAACTTGGGTTCTCATGCTTATACAGTCAAGTGTCCGTAACTGATGAGCCACCTCTTCAGAGCCATTTAATTAAATTCTAATGGAAGTGCGGTGAAGACATGGCAGCTGGAACAGCTGAGAGCTCACAACTCAAACCCTAAACAGGAGGCAGAGAGCACACGGGGAAGCTTCTGAAGGTTCAAAGCCCACTCCTGGGACAAACCTCCTCCAAAGCCACACCTCCTAACTCTCGGCAAAGTTCCACCAACTGGGACCAATTATTACGTGAGTGCATGGGGCCGTTCTCATTTGAACCACCACAAGGTGTGTCACCACACCCAGAGGGCACTATAATTTTTCTGTTTTCTTTTTTCCACCCAAAAATAACTTAGAATTCGCCATGAAGTATGTTGGCCCTGCTGAAGACTGGTGACCACGAGACTCACAGCTTCTTTCTGTGTCATTGTTGTCTGACAAACACACACCCGCTGTGCTAAGTGCTACACTTTCAACTTTATTTTAAAACAAGCAGACACATCTTCAACATATCAAATGCTTTCATTTACATTTCTCTTTGTAGGCACTGATCGCAGGAGGCAGACCCAACTCAAACGGAAGCGATTACATAGGATAACTAACACTGGCAGAGCTCAGCACTGTGCCCGGAGCGGGATGACTGTGGCTGGCTGCTCCGGTGGAGTCATTGACTATCTTCAAGGCCGTGAGTTAAGAGGTACGAGTTCTTGTGAGAGGATCGAGGACCCAGCGAGGCTAGGGCAGAATCACAGAACAGAGGGCCAGTCTGTTCATCCTGATCATTCAAGTGGGTCGAGTTCTAAGGACTAGCAGAGCCCTGAACCCAGCAATTAGAAGAAAAGTTGTACGAGGCAATCACCGCCTAGGGGCCACCACGCAGTGCCGTCTAATGCTGCATTTCTTAGCCTGTCAAATCTGCCCGTCCAATCAGTTTGCTGTCTACTCCAACAGGGGGAAAGAAAAAAACCTTAGGAAACAATCTTCTCCCTGTTTCAACATTCTATGCCAGTCACCAGAGTTCTTTTCCTGTTCAGTGTATTCTGTGCTGGCTCCTCCTTTGAGTAGCTTAGGTTATCCTTACAGAGACTGAGGAAAGGATTTTGGTCTAGGATAAGCATCATGATTACATACTTCCTGGGTAGATTATATTCTACAGGTATTCCCAGAGGGCTAAATATTGCCAATGTCTGTATTAGAACTTGACTTTTTAATATGCTTTTCTCAAGAATCTTAGGATATAGACTCTGAGACCAGTAAGCGGCCTCATACTCCCTATGCAGCAAGGGGCATCAGGGTAAAGACGTGTGTATTTAGGTAAAGTCACTGAATACACAGGCAATTTCCACATGACAGTCACAACACAAGGAACAGAGGCTTAAGTTTGGTATTTTACTATGCAACAAAAATTCCTCTGAACGCTGTGAGATAGCCAAATGAGTATATTCCAAATGGCACTGAGACACCCCCACACACACACACACACAAAGCATTTCCAGAAAAAACACAGTTTTGAATGCATTAAAAACTCATTAGAAAATCAACCATGTATCAAAATCATCAAAGAAAGTACTTTCCAAATCCCTTTTACAAAAATATAATCTTGGGGCTGGAGAGACGGCTCAGCAGTGAAGGGCACTGGCTGCTCCTCCAGAGGACCTGAGTTTAACTCCCAGCGCTCACAGTGTAGCTCATCTCACGCCCTCTCCTGGCCTCACTGGGCACTGTCACGGTGTAGACACATGCAGACCAAACACCCCTACACATAAAAACCTTGTTCCTTTGAGACAGGGTTTATGTAGCCTTGGCTGGCTGGCCTTGAACTCAGAGATCCTCCTGCCCCTTCCTGAGATTGCAGCCACCGCTATCATGCTCAACTGAGAATCATGTTTTAAGTAGTGGGGACACGACCTACTGGTCTCACCTGTCACTGGGTATGGCTCAGTGCGGTGCAGGTTCAGCGCAGTCTGCTGTGCTGCACGGACTGAAGAGTCACCCGCTCACCTGCTCACTCTGCTCTACCGGCTCTACTCCCAGTCCTCCAAGAGTCCACACAGCAGTCTAAAGACTGCATTTACACCAGGAACTATAGTTTCTTTAGTAGTTAGGTCACCAATTAGGTTAGGATGTAAACTTTTTTGAGATAAGGTCCTTACATATAGCAAGGCTGGCCTTGAACTTGGCCTCTAGGTGCAGGGATTATAACAGCATATACTGCCAACTTAATACAAACAAGAGCATTGTTTAAAACAAAGGGGGCTCCTCGATCCTACAACCCGGCTCAGGAATTCACCCGTCAACCACACGCCTGGCCTCCTGGCTTGGATGAATACCTGAGATGCAGGGCTAGGTCTGAGGGTTCTAGAAACACAGGACAGGCTTTGTAAAGGTGAGCCAAAGCCAGAGCCTGTGCTACTGCTGGGCATGGGACTTCATAAGGACTGGGGTGAACTAACAAAACTATTTTTTTTTAAAATTTCTAGAGTAAAAAAAAAAAAAATTTCTAAATATATATGTATATATATTTAGAATTTATAATCCTAATAGTTGGGCATGGCCTTTCATCCCAGCACTGGAGAGGCTGAGGAAGGCGGATCTCTGTGAGTCTAAAAAGCATCCCAGGACAGCCAAGGCTACACAGAGAAACCTTATCTCACACAAACAAACAAACAAATCTACTTAACACTCCCTGTCCCAAACTGTTCAGAAGTTAAAGAAAGCCACAGCAACCAAATTAACAACCCCATCCCACCCATCACATTTCTAAATATAAAGTGCTGGTTTCTTGCTTCAATACTTTCATTTTGAACAACAGTATAAATTATACCTATTCTAGTGGCCTTTCTGATCAGATTATGCATTTAGATCTGCACAGTGTGCAAACTAACGTGACCTTTCAAGTTTTCTAGCTAGTGCAAATGAAAAATCCCACAGTGTACACTAGAAATATTTTACTTTATATTACAGATGAAAATTGATCTTTCTGACATGCTACGTTTACAGCACAAAAAGGACTTTTCTGCGTCAGTCTATGTTACAACCAGATACACAAATGTCCAAAAGGCAAGTACGACAGATTTTCAAACTCTAAAAAAATAAAATACATAGTTTTCACTATAAAATTTTTATAAATATCAGTTACATTACAGGCTCACAGCTAAAGAGTTACAGAAAATGGAAAACATTTCAACTCAGTTACTGCACTACAGGGCAACGTGTATTCTAGACAGAAATGCCTCTGACTAGTAGAACAGATGCCTAAGAACCGAGAGAAGCTGCCTGGTATTTGGAGGTTAAGCCGCTAAGTTCATGAGGTCTGAGGAATGTGTTAGGGAAGAAAAAGATGTGAAAATAGATAAAGAGATAGTTTAAAGTTTTTCCCCGAGAATGTGTAAGTTATGTTGCTATGGAGACAACTTTAAACAGAGCAGAGGGGTCTCACGGTGAACCAGTGTGTGAAGTATAGAGCTCTGGTGAGACATTCTCACCACTGAATATATAACTTGAAAATACCAAGTCTTACAAATTGTATTCAAACAAGGCCTGTGCCTGTACATGTATCTGGAATGCTGGGTAACCTGGTGCCTGAAAGCGTGAGCTGTGGTAAACACAAAATACTGGTATGCTTTGTGACACGGTATTATCAAAGTTACAGAAGGAATCTGAGTGAAGAACATGGTGTGTGTGGGAAGGGGACACGGCCTGTTCTCCCAACTATACAGTTACCCCAACTCTTCTGATTGACAGCCTGGAATTAATGATCTGCGCCTCAGAGGATAACTAACACACCGACCCTGGGTCTAAGGCTGAATTTCATGATACTCCGAACAGGATCAGGTCACAAGGGAAAAGCTGCAAACCCCGGCCTGCCCTCGGCTGCAGTGATCAGAGTGAAGCTGTGTGAGTAGGCTGGGACAAACCTGTGGAACACCTTCAGTGGTAGAATTTGCTACCATAAAGGGACAGGCAGAAGAAGTTCATTTAGCAGTGTAAAGTTACTTTAGATAATGCACTCACTAATACATATTACTAAGTTGTCCTTTCCAAAACATGGTCTTGGCCTGAGGTGACTCAAATTGACATTTATGGCAATTCACCAACTGTAGATCCATAATAAACCATTAAAAAGGAGATAAATGGTGGTTTGGGGAATAGATTCTAGTCTTTCAGAAGTTAATTCACACAAGACTACCAAGTGAAAACATGTTGTTTGTCAGAAACACACCAAGCCAGATGCCCACTGGTACAGCTCACTGCAGAGGCAGGCCGCTGACAACAGCAGAAGAGCACCCTCTAACGGACAGCCATGGAACTGCCTTCAGTAAGTACTCGGCAACGGAAGATGGAGGTGTAGGCGCTTTGAAACCCCAAGTTCTTCATCATGTGCCCTCCCTTTTAAAGTCTGAGGAATGAGCAAAGATGAGTATATATGCCATGGGAACCAAGAGAGTTCTATGTGACTGTGACCAGCAGATCTATGTGACCACCTCACTAAATAAAGCTGTACAAAACAATGTAAACGCTAAACACGAGCATCATGCTACAAGGTAAATAATAAATTAAGTTAAAAATATATATCTTTCTCTCTTTGAAATAAATATGATACAAATCTCTCAGCAGCGCTTCCCTCTCCGAGGGTGATGCTGTCAAGGGTCCTGCAGTGTTTCACAACACAAGACCACTCAACGGGAAGGCAGGCAGCCTGGTTTTGTTTTGTTTTTTTTTTTTTTTTGAGTAATTAATCTGACTCAGAAACTTCCATTATGTGTATTTTCCCCCCCACTGCCAACACTACTTTTAGTCTAAAGAGAAGCTGGGAATTATAGAGGTTCTAATTAAAAAATTCTCTAAACTTTACACCAATCCCTATTTGATTACATATATTATATATACATATATATATATATATATGTATATATATATATGAATATATAACCAGCACGGGGAGTGTAGTTCAATGGTAGAGTGGTAGAGCAATCATCTAGACTTCCAGAGGACCTAGATTCAACCCCTAGTATTGCTCAAGCAAACAACACAAAAACCTCACAAAACCCAAAAATTTGCATTTCAGCTCAATATGATCATTAAATACCTGAAGGCCTAAAAAATGACAGAAAATATACTACTGTGAAAATTCTAAGTACCGACTCTCTTTCACTTTTCTCCTCAGGTGCTCCTAGAAGTCAGGATGCAGAGTCCATGTGGTTTGGGGTGTAGGGAATCTTAGAAAACACATGGCAGGAGCAAGCCCAGTGTTAACCACAACAGTCCAAAAGGCAAGTTAATTTTTAACATGTTATGTTGTCGTCACCATATCAAAAACATCCACATCCTGTCCATCAAGACAATGCACACTGCAGGGTGAGCTCCAGTCTGAAAACATCCAGCCAGGAGGGTGTTTCCTCTCCATGGAACTTTGTTTCTTTCAGTTCTGATAACTGACCAGAGTGCCTTGCTGATAAAAGAGTATGTGTTTGTGATACCAAAGCCTAGCTGTGGAAATGCTGTTGACTCCGCTCACATACATCAGGAATGAAATGGAGACTGGAGCGCCAACAGTCCTTCCTGTGGATGACCGTGTCTCTACTGGTCTGGGCAGATCCCGTTCCATTCTACCCTTCTACTCAGCCTCCTTTAGGTCCTCTTGATCCGAAGGACTGGAAGCATCATCATCTGTCTGCTCTCCAGAGAAGTAAAGCATCAGTGCGTGCGTCTTGTGTGTTATGGTGACGGTACAGGGTCCTTGGGCCCACGGCTCCCCATCCACCTGCATGGGCATCATGGAGCACTTCAAAATCAGCTGCAATCAGGAAACAGTCAGAAAAGTGTCAGTTCTAGAAGCTACAGGCCAGTGTTCCTCCTAACTGCCACTGTCTCCTATAGGACCTTAACCTTTGACATTAAAAAAATTAATTTGAATATACCTTTTCAATAGACTGTTTAGGGATTCTTTTCCAGTGGGCATTTTATTTCTTTAATTGGCCAGCTTCCTGCAAGCCTGTGCTATGGGCTATAAAGGTTAGGGAAAGTGATAGGGGAATACTGTTTTCTCCATATCAATGGCTTGGAAATAGCTCATTACACTGCTGTGTCACCTACCCTCACTGTATGTGCTTGTCCTATTCGAAAAGGGTTTGCCAGTTTCACCTGGATTTGAGCACAGTGGAAAGACCCATACACTCCAACGACTTCCAGCAAGCCATCATCATGTCTAACGTTGGAAGAACAACATATGGATTACAGAATGCAGTAAAATCAAATTATCCACAGAAAACACAGGTGGGCCATCAACTTCATTCATTCATTCATTCATTCATTCATTCATTCATTCATTCATTCATTCATTCATTCACTGGATAAAAGGAGTGCTGTGTCATCACACCCTACTCTGTCCTCTTATTATTCACATACACAGAAGTAAAAAAGGAAAAACCTGGGGAAATGAAAAAGTTTAAAAACAAACAAAAATCCCAAAAACTAAAACAGAAGGCTGCGGGTAGTGGTGCACACCTTTAACCCTACCATTTGGAAGGCAAAGGCTGAGTTCAAGCCCAGCCTGATCTACATAGTGAGTTTCAGGACACCAGTGCTACTGTCTTGAAACAAAACAAAAACCAAAACAACAAAAAACAGAGCACTTTAGAGAAAAGTGACAAACCCAGGATGTAGCCAGCTGTGGTAACTAACAACTATAATCCAGCGCTAGGGAGTTCAAGATTAACCTGGTTTACATAGTGAGACTGTTTCCAAACCAAAGCAAACCCATCACCCAGCTCCATTGCAAAGGTACATACCTGGCTAGAGGGTAAGTCTCATCACCCATTCCTTCCCACAGTCTGCAGCCACCGCCCCAGTAGCCAATGTTCAGAACAATAATACCTTCTAAGTTGGGCAGTTCGACTCGCTCACCATCCAGTTCTAGCTTTAAAGAAATGTAAGCAGTTAGTCACTACCTGGCGTCCTATCTCCACAGGGACTCAAACTTTAGCAAGCATGTTCATGGATGTGAGACATGCCCGAGCAGAAGACAATTTCCTACCTCAACTCAGAGCAACCTGGCCTGTCTTCTCTTCATACAACGAAACGAATTCTTCATTAATTGGTTTATTCCTCCACATGTGCGTGGAGTCACTCTCAGGTGTCACCTCCCAGGCGCTGTAGACACTGGTTTTGAGAGTGTCACTACTTGGCTATTACTTTTTAACTTGGGTTCTGGAGATTGGAAAGTCCTCACTTACACTGTAAGCCTTTCACCAACCGAGCTGTCCCCTCAGCCCCAAGCAGAAGAGTTTTTAATCAAGTTACCAACAGTGTCCTTCTCAATCCCGACTATCCAGCCCTTCTTTTTCCTAAAGATTTATATACTTTAAAAATGTGATGTGTAGTGTGAATTTCTGCTTCTATGTCCGTGTACCACCTGCATGCCTGGTGTCCAGGGAGGCCAGAAGAGGACATCAGATTGCCCTAGAACTGGTTGAGTACCTGCATACCTTGAGTACCTTCCTAGATACACACACATACACATAATTAAAAAAAATAATAAAACAAAAAACGCTCACTACAAAACAGTCAGCAAATGCTCCTCTGCAACCTACTCTCATCTCCCATTTTAGGAGTAAGAAGCATGGCACCTTACGTTCCCAGACCAGGAGCCTGGCACTATCTATACTGTGCTCCCCACAGTGGTTTCTGGTAGGAAACCAGATGACACTGTACCTTGCGTTCCTGACAGTACTGTGTGGCAAAACCCACCATCCCCCTCTAAGGTTTCTAATAGGTTGTATACTTGCCTCTCAAGGACCGTAACACACCAATTGGGACAAACCAAGCCATCACTCCCTCACTACAAGCCTTCACCGGCTTACCCTTGTACTGGGGCAGAATGCAAGTTCCAAACAGGCTGATATGATACTCTGTGGCCTGGCCTCTGTCTGTCTGTCTTCAGCTGTGGTTCTTGCCCTCTTCCTCCCTGCAAGCCATGCTCTGCACTGAAGCTCTTTTACAAGCGTCTGGGCTCCGGGTTTGATCCCAGCACCACACTCAAGAACACTTTCGCTGAGAATCTTGCAGTTCCTTCTCTGCTGGGAGGCTTCCCAGAGGCTTTCAGCTAAGGGCTTGCTGAATGGCAGCAGCTTTCTAGGGCTAGTGTACCCGGCTCCTCACTGCATGCTCACATTGTCCATTCTTGCACCAAGATGTTTATCATTTCTCCCCTTCTTATCTTTCAGTACTTTCGGGATTCTCTAGTTCATGTTTTGTTGTTATTAACCATAACAGAATCTTTCTAGAAGTAAGCAAGATACACAAGACTGCTAAAAATGATGCCAGGGTTCTGTGGCAATACACACTCAACAACACCCTATTCTTACTGTTTATACATTTTTATTTGCTCTAATATATAAGAGGTATCATAAAAAAGATGAATTAATCTTTAAAAATTTCCTGAACATTCAGATGAGTCAGCACTATGTTAGGAACTTTAAACATTTAATGTTTTAAACATTCAGCTTACCAGTTAAACAGACTCTGGGACCAAACCTGGGTTCAAGTTGTGACTACTAGTTCCTTATGGCCATGAACTATGTTAGGAAAATTAATTTCAAACAAGATCTGTCTGTGGGAATATAGTAATGCTTGCCATATAGGGTTGTAGTGATAATTTAGAGGAATCATGAATGTAAAGGAATCTAGTGGAGGCTGAAGAAATGGCTCATTGGTTAAAAGCACCTGCTACTCCTATAGAGTTCCTGGGCACACACATGGTATGGTAGCTTACAACTGTCCTGAACTCTAGCTCCAGGGGACCTAGTGCCCTCTTTGGACTACTGAGGGCACCAGGCACACAAGTGGCACACTTACATTATATATAGGCCAAACATTCATACACATAAAACAAAAACAAACAAAGAGGAAGAACATAGCCAAGTGCCTGGCATACAAACACTCCACATCTATGAACAAAGTACGGTGACAGAAAATTCAGCATTTGTTAAAGAGCTTCAGAATCCAGACAATACCCAAACTTTTAGGAAAGACACTGGTAGCTTACCTCAATTCTTTTATTCAAGTCTTTACACTCTTGCACTAAACAATCTTTAGTTCCATAGAATAAATAAACAGCCTACAAAAAATGGATAATAATATGACACTAAAACATTATGAAGACACTATAATTATGGCATTAAAACATTAAAAAGACAGCTGGGCGGTGGTGACATGTGCCTTTATTCCCAGCGCTCAGGAGGCAGAGGCAGGCAGATCTCTAAGAGTTTGAGGCCAGCCTGGTCTTCAGTGAGTCCAGAACAGAGAAACCCTATCTCAAAAATTAAAAACAAAACAAAAACAAAAACAACCCAAGGAAGACACTGTAAATGTAGCATCAAAGCATCACAAAGACACTGTGGCAAGGCTCCTCCTCTGCTGTAAGCCTCTGCTGCTTTGTGGCCTGGGTACTAAGGGACAGAAGAACATTGCCTCTGGCTTACAACCAAAAAAATGTTTTTTTTTCCTCTTCCGTGTTTTTCTTTTTTTTGAGACAGAGTTCCTCTGTCTAGTCTGGCTGTCCTAGACTTGCTTTGTAGAGCAGGCTGGCCTCGAACTCACGGACATATATACTAGCCCTTGCTTCCCTGAATGCTGGGATTAAAGGTCTGCACCACCACTTATAAAAAAACAAAACAAAACAACAAAAAACTCACTAAACAGAGCCAGACATGGTGGAGCATACCTTTAATCCCAGCAGAGGCAGGTGGATCCTTGTAAGTTCAAGGTCAGCCCAGTCTACATAGCAAGTTCCAGGGCTATATAAAGTGACTGTCTTAAACAATAAATACAAAATGGGAGAGGGGGAAGACATGAACACATGTGGGGGGACACACAAATACAAACATTACTTTTATCAAAGGATTCAGCTATGCAGGAGCTGAAGTGATGACTTTGCTAAGAGCCATGCATAACAAATACCCCTTTCCTTACTTCATCTGCCTGTGGGACTTTCCTAAGCCAACAGAATATATTTTCTCTATTAGTGACATAACCAAAAAAAAATTATTTTCCCTAGAATTTCTTTCAGCTATTTAAGATAAACTTCAACATATTCCAATTAACTTCCATCTAAGTAAAATAGTCCAACTTCTGATTTTAACACTCTTATCATTAACAAAGTATGTTCACAATTTTAAGTTGAAATCCTATACACAACAGAGCACATAAATGTTTCCATAAGTCAGTGGGATCTGAATCTGTTGGTTTTTACTGTACCTTCGGTGATAGGCAGGAAATGTTATTTTATCCAACACACCTTGTTAAGGATTCTGCTGGAAAACAGAGACGGCGCCTTCTCACGGTGAGCGTGGAAATTGAGAGCCATGAGGGCATCAGGTCCAATAGAGAAGTAGTTGTTCATTGTGAACTCCTGGGAGAGAGGAGCAGACTCTAGCAGCTGTGCCAAGCACAGGTCAAGCTCAGTCTCCATACTTTGTTTACTTTCCACAGCCTGCCACACACTGCCTGGTGAAGCTGTGAACTACAGGAGTCCCACTTTCCGCTTCTGCTTACACTGGCACCCCAGAGCTTCCCACCTGGAATGGTTCTGTATTCTGCATGCAGTCTTGCTTTGTTCCTTCTTTGCAATTTTCAGACTGTGTGTGTCTTAACTCTTTATTCCCTTAGTTTGTGTTTTCTCAATTCTTCTGTCGACATATCTAGCTCTGGTCTCACTTCTCAGCAGGCATCAGCCTCCAGCTTCTTGTTCAACACCACAGTCATTATAGTCGCCATGCCAAGTGATGCATTTTATTTAACTCCAAGCCTAAAATTCCTCATTTTTATTTTCTTGGTTGTTGGTGCTATGTATTCAAATGCTGATTTCAGCGCCTTGACATCTGGGTACTTCCCTGCCATGGGCACTATTAATAATGATGAACTAGCTCCTGTAATCACGTGATGAGAAGGAATGTCCCCATTATCCCTGATTGGTGATTAAAAGCCCTGTACCTAGGCAGGGCAGAAGGAGGTAAGTGTGGCTAAGGTTTCCAGGCTTTAGGGACAGGAGAATCACAGGAGACAGACAGGAGGAGAGGAGGAAGCCCCCAAGGGTTAGGTGGAGAGAGAACCCCGTGGGCCAGGAGGAATCACTTTGAGAATGGCATGGATGGAGAAAGTGACCCAGATGACAATGAACAAGTATTTATGGAATTATGGATGGGAGGCAACCCAATTAGGAATGGTTAAAGCAGACGGTATTGGATGAGGGCTGGAAGGTGGATGGGGAGGACAATTTGAGATAGCGTAGGTGGAATTATCTGCCCAGCCCACGGTGTTATAAGACAGTTATAAAATCTAACAGGTGTCTGGCCTTTAATTGATTGTGATAGCAGGTTAAATAATACTGCCATAATAATTACAGGGCTAATAATAAGCATTATTAGCCGGATCCCTTTTATTTACTATAATACTTGGTTAACATCATTTAGATGTCTCTTATAAAAAATAGAATTCAGTAGCTATATATTTGCTTTACTCCTTTTGTTGGCATCAGTTGCCAAGTCCTGATCAGCCTAACTTTAAAATGTCTTTAAAATGAAAAGAAAGTCTAAATTGTTCTCTAGGCTCTCCTTGTGTCTGTAAGCTATGGTTACACCATCTTCAGGATTTTTCTTAAAATACAGATTGAGATTATGGGTAGCTCAGTGACAGAGTACATGGGATAGCACGCGTGAGATTCAACTGTGATTCTCTGTAACAAGTTATCTCTGTATTATCTGCTATTTGCTGATGCTTTTCCACCTCTGTGTGGGAAACCCGTGTTTCTTTGCTGACCCACGTTAACCTGATCTGCCAGGTTAAATAAATGCCCTTGGGCAATAATCTCTTTCACTTTTTTTTTTTTTTTTGAGACAGAGTTTCTCTGTGCAGCCTTGGCTGTCCTGGACTCACTTTGCAGACCAGGCAAACTGACAGAGATCTGCCTGCTTCTGCCTCCCCAAGTGCTGAGACTACAGGTGTGCACCACCTTTTCCGTAGCACATTTGATAGCACAGCTGGGGCCTGGGGACGTGGCTCAGCGGCACACTATTCATCTAGCACCTCCCCAGACATAAGTCAATGGGGGGAAGTTAAACCAAAGCCAGTGCAGTTCAGTGACTAAGGCAGGCACTTGGGTGTTCTGCTCTGTACCCAGCTCCCATTAGCTACCACATCTCTCCATCCTACCCGCCTGGAATCCTGTACCACAGACACTCGGTGTGCATTTGCTAAACTGCTGGAAACGTACCTTGGGTTTTCTTAAATTGTAGTATCCTTTATTTGTTACCTGCACTTTCCATCTAAAAAACAGAAGTTAAAAAAAAAAACAGTACTTTTACCAAAAAACCTTTATTCTAGATAGCCTGAGAGATGAAAATTTCTATTTTAAAGCATTTGAGGATGTATCCACATCTACATCAATATACAAATTTTGGTATGGTTTATAACTGAACCACATATAACACCAGGAGCAAGACACCAGCACCTGTTACAAGTACACCAACAAATACAGTTCTTTTCACTTAAATTGCATTTAACTTGTTTTTGGTTTCTTGAGACAGGGTCTCAACTCTATGATCCAGTCTGGCCTTGGAATCATGGTAACTCTTTCCTGCCTCAACCTCTCAAGTGCTGGGATTACAGGTATGAGTCACCATGCCTGGCCAAACTTCATGAAATTTTATGGCTACACAAGTCTTCATGTGTAGCAAATAACACCCCCAAGCTCAAATAACAGGCTTGCTAGCACAGTGTAGCTTACCTGTCTAGCTTGACTCCATCTGCTTCCATCACATTTCTTAAGACCTGTGCAACTGGGATCTCTCCAGCATAGCCTGTACCCCAGCCCAGGGTGTTGGACAGATCATTGCCTGTTCCCAGTGGTAAGACTGCAACCTGTGGAATGTATTTTTCTTGTCCCTAGAATATAGAAGATGTGCTGCAGATTTTCCTCTTTAGATTGTAGCATAATAGAATTTTATAAAATTTAAAGACTAAAAGTAACAAAGACACAAATACAACAACTGTAGGTTGTGTTAACTACTGAATCAGTGTCTCATTCCCAACTATCCAAATTGGCTTCATCATCTAATAGTCACCTGCTAATTTCATTCTTTGGGGGACGGTGCTAGGGACTGCACCCACACATGCTGGGCAAGGGCTCTACTACGGAGCCATATCGTCAGCCCCCATTACAACAGTATTAAAGACAGATACCTTAATCTTCATCTCATCAACTGCATCAAGGACCCAGCCCACAGTCCCGTCCCCTCCACAGACAAGTACTCGAACTGAGTAGTAAGGAAGAAGAGTGCACAGCTGCAGGGCTTTGACTGGGGGAGTTTTGGTCACATCAAACACCTAAAAGTGAGAGGACAAGAAAAAAATCATTTTACCCAACATTGTCCTTCACCTGCCGATGACTACCTTGTGATGAACAGGCCTGTAGCTGAGCAACAGCACTGGCTATTATGTATTTTCCTTTTACAGTTCTCCAGAGACAGGGAACCTCCTGTTCACTGTGGCTCGTCCTATACACTGACCTACAAAGGAGGAACCAGTCTCATTCTACTGACTGGGTAGGACACTGAGACCCAAAGTCTGTTGCCTGCGATTCTGCAGATGCTGAAATACAATTCAAACCAAGTCTGTGATACATTTTTGACTTTCTATTCACATCAAACTACAGTGTGTTAAATTCACCTCTGGCTAGTGTTCCGTACTTTATGCCTTAAAAACAAAACAGCACTAGAGCAAATTCCTAGAAAATAATTTTGACAAATACACAGTAATCTAAAATGTAAGGACTCTGAATATTTATAACTATTACTGATACAGAAAAATACTTAAGAGACTAATGTTCTCTGTATAGGTGGCTTCTGTGGTATAGTTTACAGTAATCAAAGTGCAGGTACAATCTCAACTTCCAACAGTAGGAAACTCAATAAATCACCACAAATTAAGTTACCTTAGTCACCAGGCTTGTAATCACGAGGCTATACTGCAATCATAGAAAATATTTACCTTGACGAAATGCAAATTTGTGTATCTTACTGTTAACATCACTTTTTCTCTTTAGTACTAGGAACCAAATATGTGTTCTTACATGTTAAGACACTTTATCTTGGGTTACTGCTTCAACACTAAAGATATAAAAAGCATTAACTGGAGGGAAAAACAGCAATAACATTTCTGATGGCTTCAAAGTAGATTGTTTCCTGCTAGGATATACATATAATCTTTTTCTAAAAAATGTGTTTTAAGAGAGGATCTTACTGTGTAGTCCAGGTGTCCTCGTATTCAGAGTTCTACCTGTCTCTGCCTTGTGTGTACTGGGATTACAGGAGTGTGCCATTACACCTAGATTATGTACATTCAATTTTAAGGGCATGCCTCCCCCATTTTAAAAGTAAAGGTATAATTTACTTATCAAAAAAATTCTGTAAACAAACAAGCAGATGGTTTTAGTTTGTGCAACTATTAAGATAATCCAGTTTATAACACTTCTTTTTTAATAAGATGCTTAGTCACTTCCCACTTCCAGCCCCAGGCATATCCGTCTCTACTGACATGACTTTTAGATAGGTCACATAAATGCAATTATACAGTATGAGTCCTTCAGCGTGGATGACTTAGCAGCGTTTTTGTTTTAATTTTTATTTATTTATTTTTAAGACATTTTTTATTTATACAGTGTTCTGCCTGCGTGTGTGACAGCAGGCCAGAAGAGGGCACCAGATCTCATCATAGATGGTCATGAGCCACCATGTGGTTGCTGGGAACTGTACTCAGGACCTTTGGAAGAGCAGTCAGTGCTCTTTAACCTCTGAGCCATCTCTCCAGCCCAGCAGCGTGTTTTTTTTTTTTTTTTTTTACAGTTCACTCACTATCATATACAGTTTATTTCTTTCATCCACTGAAAAGTATTCCACTCTGTGAATACGCACTTTGTTTATCCACTCAGCAGCCGACAGAGTCAAGCTGTTCCACTTTTAGACAGTTATGGATAGTGCTGCCATCAAACATCTGTACCCTTCTCTGTGGGACATAAAGCTTCATTTCCCTTGAAACAGGATTCCAGGTGATATGGTTTTTGATTTATTTTATATTTGAAGTGCTTGAGTCTGTTATAATTACGATTCTTTCCTATGACTAGGTAGTGATTCAGGGCATCAATAACTACTACATTTCAGAGAAAATAAAAGCTAAAAACAAGGTGATGTAGGAAGGAACATTTTTCTCTTTAGTTACCTGGACTGGATTTAACAGGATCCTAAACTCTCCCAGCAGTCCTTCTCCCATGTTAGTTCCACTCCGTGAGTTGGCCAGGATTATTAATGGGGTCCACTGCTTTCCAAACTTAGAAGCTAGCTAAAAATGAAGATGAACAAAATGGGGTTAATGTTTGGGAGACATAAACATAAAACCTTCCTTAGTAACAACGGTGTTGTAATTTGCTGAAATGAGAACCATGCCAGTACTATCAACACAATAATGAAGAACAAGCCCAGGAATGGCAGAGGCCTTTCTAGCTTGACCTTCCACTCAATGTAGACTTCTTATGTAGTATATATCTCCATGCGGAGGTAAGATGACCCCCTTGGATATGTTCCTCAGGAGGCCCCTCTCCCCCACCTTTCTTTAGAGTCTCACTATATTGCCTTGGTATGCCTGGAACTCACCCAGATCAATCTGTCCCTGCCTCCCAAGTGCTGGGATGAAAGGTGTTCCATGAGAGGTTATCCAGGACAGGGTCTCCTGATGGTCATGGGGCTTGTCAGTTGTGCTAGGCTAGCTAGCCACTGAGTCCTAGGAGTTTTACCTTTCTAGGGCAGGGTCTCTAACAGATGCCCTTATGCTCAGCCTTTGACATAGATGCTGACAACTGAGTCCTCACACTTGCACGGCAAGTACTTACTGAGAGAATCGCTTTCCCAGTCTCCACCGTATTCTTTTCATATCATCCTTTTTAAGAAATCAAATTTAATCAACTGTTTTTTGTTGTTTTTTAAGACAGGATTTCTCTGTGTAGCCTTGGTTATCCTGGAAATCACTCTGTAGATCAGGCTGGCTTGAACTCAAAGATCTGCCTGCCTCTGCCTCTCCAGTACTGGGATTAAAGGTGCGTGCCACCACCAACAGGATGAATTTAATCAACTTTTAATGTATTTTAGATTTATTTTTATGTGCATGTGTGTTCCGTCTGCATGTATGTGCACCATGAGCATGGAGTGCCCTCCCAAGTCAGGGGGCAGCAGATCCCTTAGCCTAGAACTGGAGTTACAGTGTGACCTGCTGGGTGGGTGCTGGGAATTGAGCTCTGGCCCTCTGGAAGAGTTGGTGCTCTTTCCAGCTGAGCCTTCCCTCCAGCCCCTTTATCATTCTTTAAACAGTACTTTCATGGGGCTTTTGAAGAGGATTTGAGTGTGGGTCCCAGAACTCACTTTAGGTGGCTCATAACTGCCTCTCAGAAGACAGCCAGAAGTCCTTTTCAATAAGAATGGCATATTTAAAGGTCCTAAATAACTTCTGAATAGTATTTAGGGCCTGGCAAGAGAGCTGAGCAGGCAGAAGCCCTTCTTTCCAAGCCTGATGCCTCAGGTCACTTCCTGGAGCCTACTTGGCAGAAAGAACCAACTCCTACAAGCTAACGTCTGACCTCCCCCCTCCCCGCATGCCCATGGCACACTGCACCCCATGAAATAAGCGCAGTACACAGTTAAACATGCTTTGTTTTCATTTCCTGTTGAGTGTTTGCATGTGTGTGAGTAATGTATGAGTGCACACATGCTTATGGTTCATGCATATACACACACAAGAAATAAATTTAAAGAACTCATTAATAGAGCAGTTCACTCTACTGCTAAATTAAATTAGTATAAAATTAAGTTGAAAATGGGGTTCTTACTAATTTTCAATTAAGTTTACTAATTTCGCTTCTAAAACTGTTGGTATAATGTTTTTTTAAATGTATACACCTTACCCTTGTTCCTTTAAATACTGATTTCTCCCCCACCCCACCCCCAACTCTCTGGTTTCAATCTGGATATTGCATTGTGATTCTCATTATAAGCATCCTGTCTCAACTCTTGTGTAAACAGGACAAAATAAAGCAACTAGACACAATGTTGTGCAATGGGAGGAGCTAGAGGATAGGAAACAGGGGAGGAGCTAGAGAGTAGGAAAGGAGTGGGAGGAGAAGGCAAGAGGAGAGCTAGGAGAGCAGAGCTGGAGGAGAGATCCTGGAGGACATGGAGCATGAACCAGATCTAAGATTTCACAAAAAGCAAGTATAATGTGGGAAATCTAAATGTTAGGAAACTGAGGGCCTGGAGGTTTAGGAGGGAGTAAATATTGCCCAGCATTGTGTTCTAGGTTAACTAAAAACCCAGTCTCTGTGTAGTGATTTGGTTATACAGCTGCTGAGGATTAACAGCAGCATTACCAGAAGATAAATCAATAGTAAATATTAGTCGTCTCCTACAACATAAAACAATCAAAGTCATCACATAATTTACCACACAACTGCTGTGTTCAAATACTTAAAACATTACATAGGTTGAGTATCCCTTATCTGAAATGCTTGATGCCTATGGCATAATTTTATTCTTTCATACATGTGTATTGTGTATTTTGGTTCTCCCCTCCCATTTCCTTTCCATCCACCCCCCCCCAGCACTCCCCAACAATATATAAACCTCTTTCTTCTATTTACTAATTTTGGTTTTGTTTGGTGTTCCATAGATCTTAATCAGGGGCACCTGTAGGATCCTGAATTTGGAACTACCCATCAGAGCCTGCTGGGCTCACCAGCTGATATACAGACAGACACTGTGTCTCTCCCTCTACTGGACTGTTGCCAGCAGATAAGGAGCAAGTGATAGGTGTCCATAGAGGACATTTAATCCAGCAACAGGGTTGCTCTGGAATGTAGACACGCCCTTAATGCACACCTTTAATCCCAAACAATGAAGATAAAGTTAGTTTGTAGAAGGAAGCACCCATGTTTGAAAGTGATGTCTAATTGCGGGGCAGACAAAGTGACAAATCAGAGAAGTATCTCACAGAGTAGGATTCACCCAACTCTCACGAGAACAGCACAGGAAAAGGCAATATAAGAGGGCAGAGGGAGAAGGCAGTTTTTGACCAGGACAGTTGTATAGAGACAGGCTGCAGAGAGAGAACAAGCTAGACAGCGGTGAAGACAGAATGAGCCAGAGAATGAAAATGGCCAGAAGATTAGAACATATTGCCAAAGTTAGTATGAGGTCAAGAAGAGCAATTCAGGCAGAAGTGAGTGAAGCCAGTTTGAATTAGTCAGCTGAAAAAAAGAACCAGTCAGCCAGCATTCAGAAAGAACTAGAAAGGGTGAGCTTATTCAGCAGCAAGTCTCAGAGGCTCAAAAATTCTAGACCTAGATTAGATTGTATGGAGGCTAGGAGCTTCCAGTACTAGGCCTAGGTTAACAGACAACAATTACTTCTGGTGAATAAAGATACTTTTTCATCCTGGTACTAGCTCTGTAAACCAGGTTGGCCCCGAACTGAGAGATACACTTGCCTCTGCCTCCCAGAGTGCTTGAATTAAACACATGCACCATCATGCCTGGCCAGAAGTTTCTTGGTTTGGAGTGTTTGCACAAACATAACGGGGTATCTTGGAGACAGGATCCAAGTTTAATATGAAGTTGATTTATGTTTATGTATGTACCTTCATACATAACACAAAGGCACTTTGCAGGGCATTTTTAGTGTCCCTACATTTTGACCATTACTTGTCCTGAGATTGGATGATTATCTACTTGTCTCATGATGTTGCTCAACCTTAACATTTGTGAGCCTACCCCAGTTAATACACTTGACGTTCTTTTAGCCACTGGATTTAGATTTTCTCTGGTCTCTTCTGTTTTCCTTTTCTGGATGTATCTGAAGATATATTAGTTTGAAATTTTTGTTTTTTTGTGATTCCTAATTTTTTGCTTTGTTCTTTGAGATCTGCTTCCTGCCTCTGCCTCTTGAGTACTGTGATTAAAGCCTTTTATTATTTTACTTGTACGAGTGTTTTGGTTGTACTTATACCTGTATACCATATGAAAGCAATGTCTAGAGGCCAGAAGGGGGACTAGATCCCTACATACTGGAGTTACAGCTGGTTCTTACTCCACGTATGTGCTGGAAATCAAATCCTGGGTCTCCTGGAAGAACAGCCAGTGCTCTTAACTGCTGAGTCATTTCTCCAGCCCCTGGTTCTGTTTTTGAAATCAGATTTTGCTAAGCATTCTAGAACTTGCTCTATAGACTAAACTGGCCTTAAACTTTTGGTTCTGCTGCCTTTACCTCCCAAGTGCTGCTATTAAAGTTGGTTGCCATCATGCTGCGTCCTGGATAAATTTTTTTTTTTTTTTGCTTTGTTTTTTGAGACAGGGTTTCTATGTGTTGCCTTGTAGACCAGGTTAGTCTTAAAATCACAGAGATCCACTTGCCTGTACTCACCCCCCCCCCAAGTGCTGACATTATAGGTGTATGCCACTGTGCCCGGTGCCTTGGGTAAGGTTTTATGGCATACCATAATAACATTTTATATCCCTTGATCTCTTATTTTTCCCAATTTTTCTCAAATATACAGAACTAACTATCTTATATATCAACTTTAAGTGAATAAATTTATAAAAAAAACTAATTACCGCTTCATAATTTGTTTTTTTGTCTTTACGCATCTGGTTAATGGAAGTTAAATAACCTGGTGGGATGATGAGATTTCTGAATTCTCCAAAATCACACTTTTCATTCCTTAAGTTACTTTTCAGGCACTCATCATGGACTGTTTTCTGGCACCAAACGCACCTGAGGAAAAAAGAGACTGCGGTCAATTAATTTAAAATCAGTGTTCCTAATCAAAAAACGACATTGTGTCAAGATTAAAACAGTATATCTACACAAAAATAAACACAAAATTTCAGAAAAATGTACTACGTATGATCATAATTTTTAAAACAACAATGTCTTGGGGCAATTTTGTAACATGGCAACTCCTATAGGTACAACCTCCCTCCCCCATAACAAGGTCAATACAGACCAGCTGAACACATTAGAAATGTGTGTGCTTTAGCTGAAACCTGTTTATGACATCTGTGGTTCCTCGGGTCTGGTTTGGAAACTTTTCAACTTGTATGTGGAAAGTAAAAATCTCATTTCTTTTAGGAGCAGATAAATAGTTTCCATATCTACTTCTGAAACAAAGATAGGATGTGTGCATTCAGCTTTCCCTCTGTACTGGGTGCCAGTACCAGCAACAGGCAGGGAATAGTGCTGGAGAGACTTAGGCTTTCTATTATTAATCTGCTAAACTGTTTAATCCACTCACAAATAAAACACATCTGACTGAGCAAGCACAGGCCAACAGAGAAGGATAAAATTAACTAATTTAAAAAGGGAATGAACACTTCCCTGCTGGATGTTAGATCTTGGCCTTCTATTTTAAAGGTGTCTTTTCCCTTTGGGTGTTGAAATTTGTCAGGTAATTACTGCTGTTTACTCAAGAGTTCTGATGGCTAAAAACAGATACCTGCACAATGTGTTAAGAAACAATTATAACATAGCTTGCTCATGACATTTATGGATCTTTCAACTGTAACAGACGGTTACATAGTTGATGTAAACAGTCCATTTATTGGTAGCCTATAGCTAATTCCTATTTTATTTCAACCATTGTACATGTTATTATTGTATGTTGTTATTGCTATTTGGTCCTCTCTGGCCTTTAACTCTTAATCCTAGTGACTCAGGCTCTAGAATGCTGGGATTATAAACAAGTGCTGCCAAACCTGGCTTGGGTAAACTTTTTTTTTTTTCCAGTACTGGGGATGCAATCCAGGATTTGTTCATGCTATTTAAATGTTCTATATAACCTACCTATATACAATGGTGGCTCAGCTAATTCTAAACCATTATATTTCTTTTTCCCCATATCATCACATTTATTTGTGACAAAGAGAGTCAAATCTCACCACCAATTTTTAAGCTGAATAAGACTATGAGACACTGTTCTACTTAACTCCTTGGTTTCACACCTGCACAGCTAATCAGATTTGGGAGGTAAATCGTTACCACCACAGAGACAAGCATAGGGGACACATTGTGAGGAATCCCTTCAGAAAGTGCTGTTCTTGAAACAAAACAAAACACAACAAAAGAACCCTACAGTCTTGAAAAAACACAGGGGCTGGGGAGATGGTTCTGCAGTTAAGAGCATGTGTTATTCTTGCAGATGAGCTGGTTAGATTCCCAGCAACCACACGGTGGCTCATAAGCATCTATAATGCTAGTTCTAGGGGATCTGTCACCCTCCTCTGACCTGGGGGCACCAGGCACACACGTGGAACGCAGACATACATGCAGGCAGAACACCCAGTGCATGTGAAATAAATCTAACCCCCTGAAGAACCCTTCCTCCCCACAAACAAGGGCAGAGCCTTGGTTCAGGCTCCTGGCACAGGCTTACAAATGATTGTGGCCTTATAAAATCACCTATATCCAGCCACTCAATTCTTTTGGAACACTTATTCCCAGTTTTACAGTACAAAAATGCTTTTCAGGTAGGAACGTGATCTGTACGTTCTGGATACGGTGTTCTTCCTAGTTGGTATCAGGAATATTTTCCTAAGCTAGTATATATTTTCTAAAAACAAGGTTTAGAAAGAAATGTGTAATATTATGTTATGTGGATTAATTCATAAGTTATTCAATCTTTGCTCTGTTGAATCTTTCTTTTCTCTCTCTTTCTCTTCTTTCTTTCTTCGGGTCTCATATATTCCAGGCTGGCCTCAAATTCCCTACTTGGCCTTGAACTTCTACAATCCTCTTCTCCACCTCTCAGGTGTTGAGATCACAGGCATGTACAACCAGAGGGGTTTAGTGGTACTGGGAATCAAACCTGGGGCTTCTAGATACATATTAGATAGGCATTCTACCAACTAAGTTACATCCCAGTCCCTAAAAACGTCTTTAAAATTTTATTTATTTATTATTTATACAACTTATTCACTTTGTATCCTGGCTATGCCCCCTCCCTTTCTCCTCCCAATCCTTCCCTCCCTCCCTCTTCTCCTCCTATGACCCTCAAAACATTTTTTTTAAAGTACTATTCATTGAAAGGATGACTGCAAATTCGTGAAGTGTTCCATAGTAAAAAAAAAAAAAAGTACTATTCATTAGTACCTAAAAACTAGTCCTGATGATAAAAAAAAAAAAAAAAGATATTCTGTTGTTTTATTTCAGAGGGTTAGATGACTAGGTTAGATTTTTTTTTTTTTTTTGCCTTTTTTTGAACTCAGTTATGTGCTACAGTTGAAGTGCCTGCACAACATAACAACAGTCCTTTATTTTTTTTCCTGAAACAGGGCTTCTCTGTGTAAAAATAGCCTTGGCTGTCCTGGATGTGCTTCGTAGACTAGGCTGGTCTCGAACTCACAAAGATCTGCCTTCCTCTTCCCAGGATTAAAGTACTAGGATTAAAGGCATGTACCACCAGGCCCAGCCCACAGTTATCTTTTTTTTTTTTTTTTCTTTTCTTCTTTCTTTTCTTTGTTGTTTTTGAGACAGGGTTTCTCAGTGTAGCCTTGGCTGTCCTGGACTTGATTTGTAGACCAGGCTGGCCTTGAATTCACAGCAATCTGACTGCCTCTGCCTCCTGAGTGCTGGGATTTATAGATGTGTGCCACCACTTTTTTTTTTTGAGACATGGTCTTACCATGTAGCCTTGGCTACATCCATATTTCATTAGTTTAGAAAAAGTTCTCTCTCTCTCTCTCTTTCTTCTAATGTATCACATGTGTGTAACAGGGGCATGCCACAGCACATGTGTGGAGGTCAGAAGAGAACTTCTGGAAGTCTGTTTTCTCCTTCTACCCTGTGGACTCTGGAGAATCTGAACTCGGATTGTAAAACTTGGTGGCAAGAGTCTACAAAAGCTGGTGTGGTGGCACCTGTATTCCCAGCACTCAGGAAGGCAGAAGCAGGTGGATCTCTGAGTTCAAGGTCAGCCTGGTCCAAGACAGCCAAAGCTACACAGAGAAACACTGTCTCGAAAAATCAAAAGTCTACCCATCTTGATGGCCCTCTCGTTAGGTTTTTCTTGTTGTTGTTGCTATTGGTTTGTAGGTTTGTCTGTATAGTCTTGACTACCCTGGAACTCATTCTGTAGACCAGGCTGGCCTAAAACTCACAAAGGTCCAACCACCTCTGCCTCCCAACTGCTGGGATCAAAGGTGTGCGTCACCACCACCCAGCCTCATTAGATTTTAATAACTACATGTACTTTTATTTACCCAGAAATCTTTTTGTCATAGCTATGAAATATGCATGTTTATCTTTAATTTATTTAATTATATTGAGATAGTCTCTTATATCCCAGATTGGCCTTGAACTCTGTAGCCAAAGATGACCCTGCATTTCTTTCTGACCCTTCTTAGGCGGGAGCTTTGAATTGAACCTGTGTTCTCTGGAAGAGCAACTAGTGCAACTGCTAAGCCACCTCTCCAGGTCCAAATCTAGTAAATTACTTTTATTTGTTTTGTCTTTTAAGATAGAGTCTTACCACGGTTGTCCTGAAACTTATTGTAGACCAGGCTGGCCTTGAACTCAGAGATCCTCCTCCTGACTCTGGCTCCTAAGTGCTAGGATTAAAGACATGTGTCACCACTGCCTGGCTAATCAAACACATTTTTTTTAAAAGTTAAATGGAAGGACAGAGAGATGACTCTATGATTAAGGGCACTGGCTGTTTTTGCAGGTGTTTGATTCTCGGCACCCACATGGCAGCTCACAACCCTCTGTAACTTCAGTTTCAGGGGATCTTTTGGACTCCATGGTATGGTACTAAGCAGACATGTAATGCAGATGCACCTGTAGGTAAAAAGACCCACAACCATACAACTACAAAAAGACAAAAATAAAAAATTAAGCCAGGCAGGGCTGGAGAGATGGCTCAGTGATTAAGAGCACTGGTTGCTCTTTCAGAGGTCCTGAGTTCAGTTCCCACCAACCACATGGCGGCTCACAACCGTCTGTAATGGGATCTGAGTTCTTCTTCTGAGTATGTGTGAAAACAGATTACTCATATACATAAAAGTAAATAAATATATATATATTTAAAAAAAAGATTAGGCCAGCCTGGCTGGCGGTGGTGCTCACCTCTAATCTCAGCACTGGGGAGGCAGAGCAGATGGATCTATTAGATAGATTCATGGGGTGGAAGGAAGCTCACTCCACATACACAACTCCACTGCAAATGTGCACCCCACCCGTAAATAAACAAATGGGAAACATAAAATACTCCTTTCACTCTGACCCCCACAGCTGTGTTAGCAGAAGAAATTTAAAGCACTGTTTTTACAGTTTCAAACCAAGAAACCATTGGTTTGGTGACTGGCATAAAGTCATTTGTCGTGACATCCAGTGTTCCTTATATAAAATGGGGTGCTATAGAATAGCCACGAGGCAGGCAACACTTAAGAGGCCTTCGATGAAAAATGGAGAGCCCTGGCAGGGGTGGGGAAGTAGGGGGTGGTGGTGGAGTTGGCAGAGTGCTCGAGTAACACGCTCAAAGCCTTTGGGTTGGATCCCCATGTACTGGCTCTGGCGGTGCACAGTGCCGCGGGGAGTGAAGGCAGAAGAACCAGAAGTTCAAAGTCATCCTCTGCTATCCAGTGAGTTTGAGGCCAGCCTTGGCTACAGGGGACCCTGTCTCAGAAAGAAAAAAAGAAAAACAAACAAACAAACAAAAAAATCAACATATAAACGAGCATTGCCAAGGGTAGGTACCAGGGATTGCCTGCGAATGGTTTAGGTCATTTGCTGGGATGAATTTAGGTCTCACCACCCCACCCACCGTCTGCAATCCTGCCTCCCACAAGGGCCATACCTGTAATCGCAGAGCTTAGGCTGGCTGCCACACTGCAGCCTGCAGACGACACAGTAGGAGCACAGAGGCACGTTGCCGCGGATCCAGTGGTGGGGCATGTCATCTGCGGCCCTGCAGTCGCTCTTGAACACGATCTCCTTGCATGGGAAGCGCTGGTCGGCCTTCTTGAGGCAGCCCTCGTCCACGCGGAGCCCGCAGCAGTCACAGAAGGCTCCCTGCAGGATGTGCTGCCCGCACACGCAGCAGTAGGTGGGGTGGCTGAACAGGTCCGTGTCGCGCCAGCCGTGCTTGCTCTTGCGGAAGATGTCCCTGAGGTGCAGCTGCCGGCGCGACCGCTGCAGGCTGCACCAGAAGGTGATGAATACCGGCAGCAGCACGGAGCACAGCGTCCACAGGACCAAGTGGCCATCGGGGAGCAGGCCCTGGGAGGATGTGCTGGACCGCCGGTCCTCCTCCATCTTCCCAAGCCGGGGCGTGGCCTAGGGAGCGGCCGGGCCCAGCGGGCTCGCCTTAGGACTCCCTGCGCGGGCTTGCGGCTCGTCTTCTCCGCGCGCGGCCTCGGACCCGGGGAAGGCGCAGGACGCACCCGCGGGCTCCGTCCAGCACCCGCGGGCTCCGTCCAGCACAGGCCCGGCCTGCGGCCACCGCGCTCGCAACGGCCGTTGCGCGGGGCCTCGTCCCTCTCGCGAGGTCTCTGGAGAACCGCGTCCGCTCGCGTGGCCGCGGGTTCTACCTCCAGCCGAGCCTGCGGCCTCCGTCCTACCCTCGCGCCGCGAGATTTGCGTGGGGCGAGGCGGCAGCGCTTGCGAAATGCACCTGCGCAGTCCGCCCACCGGCCGGCCGCTCCGCGAGGAATGGGCGGGGCTGACGCGCCCAGGGCATGGGCGGGGCCAGGTAGGGCAAGGCCTATGGAGGCGCATTCCGCTAGTGGGCGGGGCTAGAGAAAGGCGGGGCCTGTGCGGGTGCTACTCATTTATGGGCGGGGCCAGGTGTAGGGCGGGGCCCGCGGCGGCGCTTCCCTTGGCTGGGAGGGCTCAGATAAGAGCGGGAGGCAGAGCCTGGAGGTGGCCCGGAAAGTTGAAAGACTTCAAGGATCTGGGCGCTAGGAAAGGATGAACACAGTGTACGCGGCAAGATAGCGTGGAATGAGGTGTGGCTTCGGAGAATCAGGGCGGAGTATCAACGAGAATGTTAGTGGTACATGGTTGACCGTCGTAAGTTCGGAACCAAAGGAAGTTCTACCATATAGCATTTGATCTTCAGCCTGACCCCTTCCTCACCGGTGGAGGTGGGATTGGCATGGTTATGGATATTGGAATGGTGAAAACTGGCTCTTTTGAAAGTGTTCCACTCTGAAAGGCACAAGTTAAAAGTTACCAGTGCTCTTGCTGTCTGTCTGTATTTACTTATATGTATGTAGGCGCTGTGGCTTGAACCCAGAGGTATCACAAGCTAGACAACACTATTTCGCTATCCTTAGTCTTCTTGTTAGTATTATGACACACATACTGGTGTTTGCTATGCATCAGTATGTGGGAAATCCCAACTCTTGCAGGATGCCAGGCCTGTAGAAACACGCCTAACAACAATTATTAAGGGCTAGAGAGATGGCTCAGCGGTTGAGAGCTCTTCCAGAGGAACTGAATTTGGTTCTCGGCGCCTGTGTCAGGTAGCACATAACTGACTATATAACTAAAGCCCCAGGGGATCAGACGCCCTCTTCTGGCCTCCTCTGGAACCTACACGCACTTGCATAAGCAAGCGTGAAATCAAAATAGGAAATGGTTATACTTTGCAGGTTAAGAGTTCTGTTTGGCACATGCTTGTAATCCCCAGCATTTGGGGAGGCAGAGGTAGGCAGATCTCTGTGAGTTTGAAGCCGGTCTGTCTGGTCTACAAAGTGAGTCCAGTACAGCCAAGGCTACACAGAGAAACCTGGTCTCGGAGGGGGGGGGAAAAAGAGTTCTGTTTGCAATTAAGAATAAATTTGTTTGTCTTACGTTTGTTTGACCCATCTGCATGGGTGCACTTGATTACATGTGGGCTGGATGTACATGGAGGAAATACATCAGGATAATGGGAAATGCAGTGCGATGTGGGTTTTCAGAGGCCTTTTTAAGCCTCTGAAAAGCATGACTAGGGACCATTTTCTGGGAACCCAGAGATAAACCTGGCCAGAGAGCCTACCAACCTGACCACTGTTTAATTAAAGCTTTCTTTAAATTTGGTTTTAAATTACGGTGGTGATCTTTTTATTGACTGGTGGGATTAACACTGTTGGTTTTGGGGTGGAAGCCAAGAAAGCTCACTGCAGAGACAGAAGCTTAAAATGCAAGCTTTATTTTCTGTGCGTGCAGGGAGGTAGCCAGTTCAGGATCTGAACCGGAGAACAAAGGGAGATTGTACGACATTTTTAAAGGATGAGAACAGGAGCCGGGTGGGCTGTTGTGTTGACCAATCATATTTTGACACAACTGGTTGAGCAAGGAAGAAAGCATGGGTGGCTGGGCCTTTCCAGGTCTTTTCAGAACCCTCAACTCAGCTTTTTGCAGTAATGTCCCCACTTGGAATTTTGGCCTAGGATTTAGAATGATAGGGGAACAAAGGCGTGGGCAAGCTTTAAGTCAAGACAGGCAACACATTTACAACCCGTGTGCCTTAGTTTAGATAATGGGTGGTGGCAGCTTCCCTCTTTCCATCCTTTACTGGTTAACAGACAAACATGAAACACCTGAAGAAGCAGGATAGGAGTTGGGTTCCAGGGCCTGGGAATATGAACTCAGTTTTGACCCTGCCAGCAAGGTGGAACTTGTTTCTGAGATGGCTAGATCCAGAAAACTGTCTCTTAACAAACACAAGTTCCTGGCAAGCTAGGGGTACACAAAAAAAAAATCCATCGCAAAAGCACACCCCCCCCAAACCAAAACAATGGCATCAATACTAGTTTATCACATCCCAGATCATGTTGTTTTACTTTGGCCATTCATGGGCTAGTGGGATGGTTCAAGAGGTACAGGCACCTATTACTAAGCTTTACGACCCCAGTTTGATTCTTGGGACCCAAATACTCTCTATGGCACGTGAGCATCCACAAACATACATAAGTAAATAAATAAATATAATTCTATTTATATTGGTCTTTCAGGTCAACTTCAGTCTAAGCCATGGAAGAAAGAGCTTCAATAATTCGTTGTTCCTGTGGGAACCTTGTCCTGGGGCTCTAAAATGCAGGCTCTGCTTCCCCTTTCCTTGGGAAGGAGACCCAGGATTATTTTTCACTTCAAGATACTTTCACTACACAAGCCAGGCTGGCTTCAAACTTGTGGCCGTCGTCTTGCCTCTGACTCTCCAGGGCTGGGAGCAGAGGCAAGTACCATCTTGCTTGGATGTGAGAGCCTGCTTCTGTCATAGATTAGGGCTATGATGCTGCTGCTAGCTCAGGACTACGCCGTGAGCCTGAAAACTGGCATAACTTCTGCTCCGACCACTGGCACCATGTGCACAAATGTCCCCACTTATTTTTTCTGACATAGGGCTTCTCTGTGCAGCCTTGGCTGTCCTGGACTCACTCTGTAGACCAGTCTGGCCTCTCGAACTCACAGAGATCTGCCTGCCGCTGCCTCCCAGAGCCCTGGGATTACAGGAGAGCACCACCATCCCCTGCTCAGTGTCACCACGTTCTACAAATCCTGGATGCAGAACCCTTAAACGTATTAAAAGGCAACAGCAAAGCATACTCTTGAAAAGTGACTACTTGTCTTCATGTTTCAGTGTCGAATATTTGGAAAATACAATATTTTAAAGGGAAGCAAGCAAGCAAGCAAGCAAGCAAGAAAGAAAACCATCGCTTAAATGTCATTCCAGAGACAACTCTTATTTAAACATTTGACCTATTTTCCCTCTGTTGTCTTTTCTTTCTTTTTCCTTTTGAAAGAGGCTCTCATATATCCCAAGTTGGCCTGGAACTTACTATGTAGCTGGGGATGATCCTGAGCTTCTGATCTTCCTGCCTCCAGCTTCCGAGTGCTGGGATTACAGGCAAGTGCCATCAAGCTTGGTTTACTTGGTGGTTGGGGATGGAACACAGTACTGTATGTAGGCAAGTCTGAATTCCGTCCCTCTTCTGCTGTTCTCTTTGGAGATAGTGGCTTACCTGTTTGTGTGCATACTTAGGGGCAAGTGGCTCTTATTTGTCTTTTCTAATTTATTGTTTGTTATTTAGACAGCATTCTGCCTGCATGTGTGCCCACACACTGTTGTTCTCCTCCTGGCTGAGGGCTGCCTGTCATCAGCTCCAGGAGGGGCTGGAGACTAAGGAGCGTGACTGGAATGGCCCTCAAGAGCTGGACAGGGATCACACACCCGGGGAACAGCTGATGGCTAGTTCAACTTTACTTCCAGAGAACAAAGAATATATACCCCTAGGGGAGTGGTTAGGGGGCTCCAAGAATAGGTGTACATAATTGGTTGAAGCTAGGCATGTCGAGGATGCTTGATTTGCATTATACAGCAGGCTCCAATCATAAGAGTAGAATGTCGGTGCTTGATTAACATATAGATAAGGGCAGGGTGGGGAGAGCTAGCAGGGGACTGTGTCTGAGGCCATATATCAACTGTGGCCAGGGGAATCTATAATCTAAAGGCACTCTCCAAATGAAGTGAGGCAGAGAGCAGGGGACCCCGCTGAGGGGAGGAGTTCAGCCTTTAGGGCTGAACTCATTATGGCCAACAGGTCTGGGCAGAGTGCAGGGAATCTTATGAAAGAAGGGGGAGATAGAAAGACCCGGAGGGGACAGGAGCTCCACAAGGAGAGCAACAGAACCAAGATATTCAGGCACAGGGGTCTTTTTGAGACTGATACTCCAACCAAGGATCATGCATGGAGATAACCTAGAACCCCTGCACAGATGTAGCCCATGGCAGTTCAGTGTCCAAGTGGGTTCCCTAGTAAGGGGAACAGGGACTGTCTCTGACATGAACTCAGTGGCTGGCTCTTTGATCACCTCCCCCTGAGGGAGGAGAAGCCTTACCGGGCCACAGAGGAGGACAATGTAGCCAGTCCTGATGAGACCTGATAGGCTAGGGTCAGTTGGAAGGGGAAGAGGACTTCCCCTATCAGTGGACTTGGAGAGGGTCATGGGAGGAGGTAAAGGAGGGAGGGTGGGATTGGAAGGGATTGAGGAAGGGGGCTACAGCTGGGATACAAAGTGAATAAACTGTAATTAATATAAAAAAAGATTAAAAAAAAAGAACTGCAACCTCAACCAGCAGGTACCTCCAAGAGCTCATCAGAAGAGAGCACCAGATCTCACCATAGAGCGTTGTGAGCCACCATGTGGTTGCTGGGAATTGAACTCAGGACCTTTGGAAGAACAGCCAGTGCTCTTCATCTTTGAGCCATCTTTCCAGCCCCGGTAAACACGTTCTTTATCTGGTTGCATTTTAAATTTAGATTTCAAGATGATGTGTGTGTGCATGTATTTTTGACAGAGTCAGGCTACATAGCTCAAGGAAGCCTGAACCTGTGGGTTTCAACCTCTTTGCAAGCCTCTATCTTAAAAAAAAAAAAATATTTACTTTATGATTCATAACGGTAGCAAAATTACAGTTATGAAGTAGCAACGAAAACAGTTTGAAGGCTGGGGGTCACCACAACACGAGGAACCCGTATTAAAAAGTGGAAGCTTTAGGAAAGTTGAGAACCACTGCTCTCAACACATGCTGTTGTCCTGTCTCAGCCTCCCCAATGCTGAGGTGACGGGTGTGCGCCACAAGGCTTGGCAGCAAAATAACTCTTACATGTTTTTAAAAGTCA